CTTCTTTTTACCTCGGAAATGGAATAGGAAGATCGGTTATTTCCATTTCGGCGGAAGTCGCTGGTTTAAACGTTACGGATTCAGCAACGAGACTTCGGGGAAACAATAATCCAAAGTAGAATGGTCAACGCGGGAGTATAGAACGGGATGCCGAATCGGCGAAGAGAAAGATCGGCGAAAGGAAAAAAAAATCGCGAGGGGGGAAGAGAGTAGAATCGCGGGGCCCGGATCGCCACCGGAATGATCCGCACACCATCGGTGCTCGAGGAATGACCCGATTGTCTCTGTCTCTGGTTTCTCCCATCGTTGGCCCGAATAAACCGCGTTTCGCCCGTTCTTTCTACCCGGTGACGCCCCCGCGGTTATTTCAAACGGGAGCGGAGACATCGGGACGGGAAACGAGGCTGCAACGGCGGATGATTGATGAATTCTCCGCGAGTGATCCGGATTGAAAGGCGCGGAATCCTCGCGGAATGGTTCGTGCGCGCGCGTTCGCGCGAACGCGAGAGGAGAGGGGGCGTTAATTGTAATCAGTCGACGAAGTATCGGTGTCGAACCGACGCGACGCGACGAGCGGACTTGTTTGCTGACGGATAACCGTAATCCGAGAACCGCGGAACGCTGATTCTATGATCGATGCAAACGGCACGCTCTAACTTGTGCGAATATACAGAGTGTCCCAAAAATGTCTCGCAATCGGAAAGTGGCGGGTTCCTCGGGTCATTTGAAGCAACTTCTTCAAATTGCTTCAGTCGCTTCAAATGATCTAAGAAACCCGCTATTTCCGGATTGCGAGACATTTTTGAGACACCCTGTATGTTTCGATCTACTCTCTTTACGGCGAACACCTTCTCTCGCCGATTCTTTTGGATCGTGCGACCATTCGAACGCTGTTTCTCGTCGATCTACGCTTTCGCTTTTTTACGGAGCCGCTCGAAACACCGCGTTGCAGGAGTGTCTCCCTAATTCGCGCACGAATTGCGCAGAAAAATGAACAATTTGGGAAGAGGATTGCATTGCGGATCGTTTTTATAGCTGTTGACAATCGGTAATTATAAGAACGAGCACCAAGGCTCGAGTAATCTCAAAGTGTCAATTTTTCTGCGCAATCTGAGCGCAACGAAACGAAATCTGATCTGCGCGCTACCAAAGTCAAGGAATAAAACTATAAATAAAGACACACAAGAAACAATAATCGTCGACCAAAGAAATCGGTGGTTGTAACAGCTCTCAGATCAAGCACGCTTTAATCTCGCGCAAAACAATTAATTAATGTGTTCTGAAACTTTTCGCGCGGACGGTGAATAAGTATAATTATACTGTTGTCCATTTCTGTGGACAATCTGAGCGTCAATTAGAGAGACATTACTGTATTTCGCGGCGTGCCGCAGCGGAAACACTTGCGCATCCGCGACAAAACACACAGCGCGATAGATCGTCGTTAAAAGAGAAGCAAGAAATCGGCGGCTAATAAATCGCCATAAACCAAGAACACCGCGTTCTATCGATCGCGCTGGTTGCAAGAGAGGGATCCGGATTCCCGAAGGATCTACAGCCTAATCGCTCGATCCGGAAAAGCCGCGAGTCGTCGACGACGCTCGAGCGGATAGTTCCGTTGATGGGTCGCTTTTCTTCGTCGTATCTTCACGGTCGGCGCGAAATCGATAGGAAAGGAAAGGCTTCCGTTCGGCCGACCCGGCTGAATAATTCAACGCGGGGGCGGGCGAGGTGTTTTGATTATGGCAGACGAAGAGAGCACAGCACGCGCGCGGATGCGAACCGTTCGAATAACTCGCGAAAATACCGTGCGACCGTTTCCGCGCCTTATCGCCCTATCGGCCCCTCCCTTCCTCCCTCCCTCCGTTGGTTCGTGCCTCACCCATCGTACAAATTTCCAGGCGAAAGGGTGTTCGAGAGCAAATAACGAAGCAGGCGCAAATAATTCGGCATTGAAAGCGGCGATAGCGTTCTCGCGGCTCGCGAAAACAATCGGAACGAGAGAGGAGAGAGAGAGCTCGGTCGTGTTTACCAGCGTGGACAATATTCTAAATCAGCCGAACCTAATTGCGAGTCCGTGGCTCGAATTAGATTCCCCCGGTTTCGAGCCCGCGTTCGCGCGCGCCGCCCAGAGAGAGAGACGATTACCCTCGCTTTAGCGTTGCCGTTCTCTATTTGCGGAATCAACCCTGAACACGTTATTCGTACAGGACGCGTTCCGACGAACTCGCGGTTCGAAATCAATTAGGCGCGACCAACCGTGACAACTCTCTGCTCAGCACGCGCTCTCGATGGCCGCGCGATATGAAATAGGCCGCCACCCTCTGTATTCGACGGGAAGGAGGGTGCTGGTGGTCGGTTCGAAACCGATTAAAAACGCAACGACAAATTATACGGCGGTTGCCGAATCTGTAGAGGGGCGCGATCGACCGAAAAGCGGCGGAGAGAGAACAACGGCGGCCACGGGAGAAGTGGAAACGTCCGTTCATGGTCAGACCCGGTCGAAAAAACTGGG